CTACGTACTCAGAGCTCAGAACCACGTGATTACTAGTTACGAGGGGCCTTTCATTTGTGATGTCCTCATTGTCCAAGCGACTCAGGGTGAACACGAGGTCCAGTCTTGCTGGTTCATCCTCCCCTCTCTCTGGTAGTGTCCCTAACATGTTGATGCATGAGGTTTACCATTACCACATCCATTATCTTCGCTCTCCATGTTTCGGGACCCCCATGTGGCTCCAGGTTTTCCCAATCTCCTCGTGATTGAAATAGCCCATAACAGGTAACTTTGATTTACCCGTGTGAGCTCTTCTAGTACCTCAGCCAGTGTGTCCACCACTGCTCTTTGGCTTTCTTCATATTCTTCTCTTGGCCTCCTGAAGATCTGTAGCGGGTTATATAACACTGCAATGACTACCTTATGTCCCCCAGACTGGATTGTGCCCATGTAGCCCTTTCGCCAATTTCGTGTTTGTTGGTGAGAGGGAGAGGGGGAGGGAGGTAGGGAGAAGAGCAGAAGGATAAAGGTTAGGAGTGGGAGACAGTGGCAGAGGGGGGAAAAGATGAGGGGAAGGATAGGGGAGTATGGGGAGGAGGGGAAAGAAGAGAGGGAAAGGCAAAGGGAAGGAGAGGGGGAGAGGGAGGGGAAGGAGAGGAGAGGAGGGGAGGAGGAGGAGGAGGAGGAGGAGGAGGAGGAGGAGGAGGGGGAGGGGGAGGGGGAGGAGGGGAGGAGGAGGAGGAGGAGGAGGAGGAGGAGGAGGAGGAGAAGGAAGAGGAGGAGGAGGAGGTGGTGGAGGAGGAAGAGGAAGAGGCAGAGGGGAAGAGGAAAAGGAAGATAGGAGTGTGCGCGTATGAGTGCGTGTGTCTTTGTGTGTGTGTGTGTGTGTTGTGTGTGTGTATGTGTGGTGTGTGTGTGTGGTGTGTGTGTGTGTGTGTGTGGTGTGTGTGTGTGTGTGTGTGTGTGTGTGTGTCTGTCTGTCTGTCTGTCTGTAATTATTAGTTGTCAAAGGGACTTGTTGATAGACACTTGGCCTGATATAGTTTGCTTATGTGTGTCTTCACCCCCCCCCCCCATGAAGAGTATTTGTTTTCATGGCGTCACGTCTTTCGCTATAAACCGATTGTATTTCTCTTGTTTTTAATTCCCTTTGATATTCGACAAACTGTTTCTCCTTTGATTTCAGCCAGTCATCTATTACCCTGTAAAGAAATACTTTCCAGTAATCTTTCTAGAGTGCTTATTACGTTTATTATTATTATTATTATTATTATTATTATTATATTATTAGAAAGTGCTAACACAAATAACCCGTTCCAGTCAGGGTATTGTGCTTTTTTTATTTAAAAAGTGCTAAAGCCGAGCCTAGGATATTATATTTCGCGTATTATTCATTTAAAAACAATGGCTTCTTCTCCCTCTTATTAGTACCAAAAAACATTCTTTATCTGCTATTTTAATCCCTTTATTGCATATAAATATATTTATCACATTTATGTTCTTCCCTTTTACCCCTTTACCTCCTGTTTTCTCACTCATGTGTCTCGGCTTTGGAGAGTATGCATGACTGACCCCACGTTTTGGAAATAGAAATCAGAAACGTTTCGGTCCATCCTGAACCATTCGAACATCTGGAACATCGACATTTCGTGTGTGTATCTGTGTGTACATGTATTGTGAAAACAGTAAAATTAATTCTTTCTTCAAATCTGATCACTAGTTTATTGAGGAAAGGAAATTCGTTGTTGAGTTCCACTCTAAAGTTAATGGAAGGAGTTAGTTGAATGGAAGGACTTAGTTGATTGGAAAAGGTTGAAAAATAGCCCAAGTTTATGTCCCAGAGAGAGAAAATGTCGTCCACTTATCTGTACCACTTCTTTCCAAATGATTTGATGTCCCCCAGCACTGCAGCCTCAGTTCCGTTCTTCGAGCAAAATACAATTAACCCACAAAATTAGAATCAAAACTAGGAAACGTGTTACTTGCTTCTGGACCTTAATCAGTCGAAAGTTTATTGATGGTCTAGAAGTATAGAAGTTTGTCTAGTTTATATTTTTAACTTGAGGGTTAATTTAGATATTTTTGTTGGTTTTGCATTATGGTATTGAATCATTCGTCAGAATTTCTCCAACAAATATTCATATATTGTAATCTTCGTGTCGTATGTAGCTACTGTTATACAAACTACGAAAAAGAGTAATTAATATTTCATTGTGTTACTAAGTGGTGACAAGTGTGTTGTAGAAGCTGTGTACTAGTATATATAGTGTACTTCTTCTTCTTATGACCAGAGTCTTTGGTAAGATGGGTAAGGAAGAAGGATGGGTAAGGATAGAAATATTGGAAAAGGGTGGGAAGGGGGGAGAGAGGTAGGATATTAAAAGCAAGTGGCCCAACCACTTTGATGTAATTTAAAAAGCGTATGTGGAATAATAAAATATTCTTGAAGGGGTATAATACTAACCCATCAGAGTCACATATATATAACAAATATATAAGTACATGACTCTGAATTGGTAGTAATTATACAAGTTGCATTTTGTTTTTCTTTTTGTGATTGCACAACGAACGTTTAAACGACAATGAAGGCGATAATTGTCTGGACAATTCGTAAGGAATTACTTGACACATTAGCTTCTTACAAGGTGGTGTCCCGCCATAGTAAATGTAGCATCATTTTAACAGTAGAATGCTATACAAGATATCTCCCTAATTGGGGGCTATGATTTTCTTAGTATACACAGAAGGGTTCTGGTGTTACCCAGTCATCTTCATCTGCAGGGAAGTTGCTCAAGATCATTGGTCGATGGTAATCGTCTTTATGGATGAAACGACGCACCCTCTGTGGGATAGTCATTCTTTGGGTCCTGTTAGGAGGAGTATTAATGATATAGTCAGTGGCATTTTCAACTTGGAGAGGATGTTCTCTGTCTGGCATGTAGAGTTCTTGCATTGCATAGAGTTGTTTTTTCTTCAGGGTGTCAAGGCGTACATTTAAGGCAGTAATATCCTGTTGTACGTGTAAATCTGCCATTTTAACTCTGTCTCTCCTCCTGGTACCCGTAAGAAAGCGGAGAGCTCTATTCTGGACCCGTTGCAACCGTAGCATGTTGGTCTTTGTTGTTAATGACATTGGGACACATGGGTATTCGAGTATAGGTCTTATTATCATTTTATACAGATGTTTTTTTGACGTGTGTACTAACGTAAGACATTCAGATGAAACAGTTTACTACCATTAAAAAATAACAGCAATATCATGAACTACAGCATCGTTGGTTGTGTAACAATCTTCACGGATCATCAATATATTTTCTATGGATTTTTTTTTAATCCAAATTGCGTCAGTTCTTTGCCTATGCGTAAATACTTCGAATAAAGCGTTTACAAAATATTTAAATTATATATTGCTCAAAAAAATATTACTGTTAATGCACTTAGTCTCAGGAATTGGTTTTACAGAAAAAATGGCGAACATAAGTATACATGTTTATACTATGAATATATTCATAACGAATATTTCCAGATGTGAGAGATGAAAAAACAGTGGTTGACAAAAAGCTGTTGTTCAGAGTATGAGACTTTTAGTATGATCTGAAGTCATAAAATAAGAGTAACCAAGTAACCTAGTAAACAAATTATTGATATAATCCTAGTGCTTCTGAGGCAGTGCAGTTACATAGCAGGAGAGGCCTGCCTCCCCTAACATATTTCTTATTATTACCCCCAACTCACTTCCACCTTCGCTACCACCTCTACCATCACCATCAGATAACTGGGACTCTCATCTCGAAAAAAGAAACTGAATATGTTATTTGTGAAAAGAGAACGAATCTCCAGCAAAACTCGGAAAACTTTCCACATAACCGCAATACATCGAATTCTATAAAGCATTCAATAATATGCTATGTGGCACCATCTCTCGCCTTCCACCAGCCAATACACTTATCCTGGCACGCGCTTAGGCACCAGAAACCACCAACTAGACAACTGGTCACTACATATCGAGAATAATGACAGATATGTAAAATAATGGGACACAGTGTCACTAAAATGCAGTGCACCCCAATGTGTCACTTGTGAGTTATGTTACACTGTTGCACACTCTAAATGTATTGCAATGTGTGAAGGAAACCATATGCTGCAAAATCAATATGTATTGAATATATGATAGAGAGATAAGTGTATTTTTAAGGATTACAGACATAATGAACGATGTCTCTTCTCTTAATTAAGACATTTTCGTCCTGCCTCTCTGAACTAGCAGATTACATCAAACCTTTGCTTCACCTTTACACAGAAAACAAGAATTATAAATTCGTACAAAGTAATGTAAATTAAAGTAAAATAAGTAATGTAAAATAAAGTAAAATTTATTTATGTAATGAATGGCTTAAGTCAGTACAGAAAATCAGAGCATTACAGAGCATTTCGGGAAGCTTTAAAATAACTTCTACTTGTAACATTTAACAACAAAGTGGAATTTGTGCAATAAAAGTGCGTTAGGTGTTTTACTTACGAGAAAACATTTAACCTTTGTGAAGGTTGTTAGTGGTGGCCGTAATAATCTAGATAACAGTATTTCTACACAGAATATACAATAAAATTAAGTCCCAAAGAGTGCACAACTTCTCAAGGAAAACTTTGCAAATAATATACTTAAAATTAACTCAGTTAATTCATAATAAAAAATCACAATAAGGCGATATAATTGTTAAATTTAGGAGAGTGGAATTTGTTAATTAGATTACAATACAAATATGATGGGACAAAATGCTGCTAATCATTATATATGTATATATATATATATATATATATATATATATATATATATATATATATATATATATATATATATATATATATATATATATATATATATATATATATGCCCCAAAGATGAGACCACAGCCCAAGCACTAAGAGACAAGCATCCAACCAGGGACACCATAGCCATCAACAACAACCCTGAGGAAGACCCCATCACTGAACAATTAATTTTGCCTAAAGCGGAAGTCTATAAGGCGATTGTGTCATTTCCTGCAGGATCTGCAGGAGGTTACACTGGAATTCGACCTCAGCACCTCAAGGAGATGGTAAATCCAGTACTCGGTGCATCTGCATCACTTCTTCTCACCGAGTTAACAACTTTCGTCAACAACTGCCTGGCTGGGCGAATCCCAGAAGAAATTAAACCTTTCTTTTTTGGAGCCTCACTGTGTGCATTGAAGAAGAAGGATGGGGGAATCAGACCCATTGCGGTTGAAAACACTCTTCGCCGTCTCGTTGCCAAAGTAGCAGTAAGAAACATTAGCCTAGAAGCTGCCAGTTTACTCCAGCCACACCAACTGGGCTTTGGGGTCCCTCAAGGCAGTGAAGCTGCAGCTCATGCGGCAAGGGCCTACATCAGGGACCTACCAGAAGACAAGGCCGTAGTCAAACTTGATTTTAGAAATGCCTTTAATATGGTAAAGAGAGATGCTGTCTTGCCAGCTGTTCGGGATCGCTTCCCCAATCTTTTTCCCTTCATTTCAGCCGGCTACAGCAAACCCTCAATTCTTTTGTTTGGAGAACATGAAATTCTCTCCTCAGAAGGTGTTCAGCAGGGTGACCCACTAGCTCCACTTCTCTTCTGCTTGGCAGTAAGAGAACTAACTTCCAGCCTACGCAGCGAGCTCAACATCTGGTACCTGGATGATGGCACTCTGGCAGGTACTGAAGAGTCCCTGGTAGGGGACCTACAACTGGTGAAAACACAGGGAGAAGACTTGAGACTCATCCTCAATCCCTTCAAGTGTGAAATCATCACAGCAAACCAGGAAATAATCAATGCTGTGCGAAGAATACCCCCAGAAGTCTCTACAACCACTCCGTTCAACAGTACCCTCTTGGGAGCACCGCCGGGTCACCAGGCCATCGACACAGTCCTCAAGGACAAATTGAATGACCTGATGAGAATGGAGGAGAGAATAAGCAATCTTGATGCCCATGATGCTCTGTATCTCCTCACAAGGTGCCTTACTATTCCAAGACTCACTTACTTCCTGAGGTGTGCACCCTCTTTTGACAACCCAACACTCGACGAATATGACGCACACCTGAGGTCAACCCTTAAGAAGGCACTGAACCTGTCACTAGAGAATCAGCAATGGGATCTGGCAACCCTCCCAGTACGACTGGGAGGTATCGGGGTGTGCAAAGCAACGCATGTTGCTTTACCTGCTTTTCTGTCTTCGTGTTTGGCTTCCAGTGCATTAGTCAAGAAGATTGTTCCCGAACGCTTGAGAGACGTGGTAGGAGCTCAAGACCCCAGGTTTACTGAAGCAGCGATTCGGTGGGACACCCTTACAGATTCCTCCAGTAGACCAGCTCATCCCAAAGAACACAAACAGTCCCACTGGGACAAACCGATCATGGAAAAAATCGCCAACACAATGCTCTCCAACGCCTCAGGAAAGGACAAAGCTCGTCTCCTGGCAGTGAAGGCACCACACTCAGGAGATTTCCTGTTAGCTGTTCCCAATTCCTCCTTGGGCAATCGACTAGACCCACAGGCCATTCGGATCGGTGTTGCTCTTTGCCTAGCCGCCCCCATCCTCACCGAACATAGGTGTATTTGCGGCAGGGCGACAGCTGATCAATTCGGACTTCATGGTCTCGTGTGTCACACAGCAGAAGGGAAGTATGCCAGGCATGAGGAGGTCAATGACATCATAAAGAGAAGCCTCACCACAGCCCGTTGCCCAGCTCAACGGGAACCCCAAGTGCAGAGGTCTGACGGAAGTCTAAAGCGTCTTGATGGAGCCACTATGCTACCTTGGAAGGATGGAAAGCAGATTGCCTGGGACTACACATGTGCCGCCACATTGGCAGACACCTACTTGCCATACTCCGTAGTGGAAGGGGGTGGAGCTGCCAGCCACAGGGAGACCCAGAAGATCCGCAAATATGAAGACCTTCCCCCTTGCTATAACTTCATCCCAATAGGGTCGGAGACCCTTGGAGCATGGGGCAAGTGTGCTCTAAAGTTCCTAATAGAGCTGGGTGAAAAGCTCATCATAGAAACCAAGGACCACAGGGCGACCAGTTTCCTCTTTCAGAGACTCAGTGTTGCGATCCAGAGAGGAAATGCCTGCAGCATTCTGGGCACGCGGCCCACCACCGGGGAGCTGGACGAAGTATTCGAGATGTATCTCTGAGTTACTTATGTTGTTTTACTTTCTATCGTATTTTTGTGAATGTTTTGTCAATGTATTTTGTCTTTATATATATATATATATATATATATATATATATATATATATATATATATATATATATATATATATATATATATATATATGTCGTGCCGAATATGTAAAACTGGTCAATTAGCAAGAACTCATTTAAAATTAAGTCTTTTCTAAAATTTTCTCTTATACGTTTAAAGATATATTTTTTCATTAATGTTAATGTAAAAATTTTTAATTTTGCTCTAAAAGAATCTTAGAAAACTTACCTAACCTTATTATAACAAGAACAATTTATTTTAGCCTAACCCAACTAAATATATTTTAGATTTGTTTACAGTAATTTAATACTAAACAAACACAATGAAATATATTTTTTTCGTTAGGTTCAGAATGATTTTGGCGAAATTATTGCATACACAAATTTTCACTTGTCCTATATGGCAAGATGAGCGTTGCTATTTAAGCCAAGATCGCAAGTTCTGCCTATTCGGCACGACATATATATATATATATATATATATATATATATATATATATATATATATATATATATATATATATATATATATATATATATATATATATATATATATATGAGTTGAGGGAAGGCTGGAAGGAAAACGGGGACAAAGTTGAATGGAAACATTTTACATACCGTATTTCTGTCGACATCACATTAAGGAGATGAGATGAGATGCTTTTTAACACTAGCTTTGAAGTGATTGGCAGACAGGGGGACCTTCGGAATCTTCAGGTAGGGAGTTGCTGATATTTGTCCCTTTTATGCACATTGAGTTTTTTTTTTTTACATATGTTGAGTCGGACACGAGGGATATCAAAGAGGCTTTTATGTCTTGTGTTAAGCCTGTGAGTTCTGTTATAGCTATCAAGGAAGAGTTTCAGGACATTGTTTACTCTCACATTACAGGAAGAGCGAGAGAGGCTGTAAATGAGATGGATGTTTGTCAGTACGAAATATCCAGGTAAACTAGTGGAACATGCAGATTTAACAGCCTAAAAATTTTGTGATCTCGTAAATTTAGGTCTGTATCTTTGTACTCCCTGTTCATATTAAAGTATATTACATACCTCAGTAAATAAGAAAATGCTAAAACAATAACTGCCCTAGACACCACTTGTACCACCAGAAGGTACAAGCCATGTAAACAAACTGATTATAATATTCGCTATCAGACCCCAGAAATATTTTTTAGTACCAGGAAGCAGAAAAGAATGGCAAGAAATGACATTAATATGCCACCACTTCCGAGCAATGCTGGATTGGAGACAAAACCAATGACTGCCTCACAAGATCCACAAATATTAATACCAAAATAAAATCCCTAACCATCAAATATATAAATATTTTTATTATAATCGTAACTAAACGCTAAACGCACAAAGGTCATCAAATAATATAGCATCATTTCCTTCTGCAAATGTTCAATGTTTTAAACAAAACATAAACAAAATATCGTTAATTAATGGACTCCTCATAGTGCCAAATGTAATGCTTACAGCTTTCACAAATCTGACTACTGCCAACAGATGTGACCAGTACTGAAGTTCTTGCAGAAGGGCTTAAAGCCCATAGAACTGAAAATGATGACAAAAATTTGAGTAAAATAATAAAATTAGAATACAATTGTTTTCAATGAACCATTAATGAGATTAAAGAGTCACAGTTGAGATGAATTCCTCATTAATGAAATGCAAAACTATCAATATATCCAAATTTACTGACATAAACCTAACCCCAACTCGAATTTGGGAAATCCATTGATGTTATGTCCTTGTACTCTGACCCAGGCCCAGACTCAGAGAACTCCTTATTCATTAAAAATTTAAAAAATTAAATATAAATAAATATGGTAGGCATTAAATATGTTAGGTGGACCGAATCTGGGAACAAGAGTCATTCCATAATCAAAAAAATTACTGATATACATCCACTCCACAAAGTTAGCAGCACATTTAATATATATATATATATATATATATATATATATATATATATATATATATATATATATATATATATATATATATATATATATAATATATATATATATTATAGCGATAACAGTGACGTTTCAGATTATGAAAATCCTCGAAAGAGCCTAAATTGCTGAGCACAGAATCACAGTAATTCCACTGCACAAGGTAACAGAGCAGGTCTCTTATGTTTCTCGCAATTACTGATTCATTGATTCTGTATGAACTGAAAGAGAACGATAGTGAAGGATACGAACACTTTGCGAATGCCCTTGACAAGTCTGGTAGTGTAATAACTGGGAGCCAGGGAGGTGGATTATTATTTTCTAACATATTGGAATCAAAGAGTTTCAGTAAATAAAAATAAAAGAAGTTGCCATAGTCAAAATGTCTGTTTCTCAAGAAACAGTACTCGCCCCCATCTATCTTTCTCAATATAATATCTTACATACACAAAAACACATCAGAGCACAATGCTAGAATTTGCAATAAAGTGTCATAAATTAAGGACACAACAAATATTCAAGATGATGAAACTAGAACTCACAATGGACCACAGAAAACAATATGACAATATGAGTCAGGTATGAGGAAAATTTTTCATTATGCTATAATGGTAAATAGAAGAATTTAGAACTCATAAGTATAAAACAAACTTTAGTCACTCAGCAGAGCGGAAGGGAATTGTACCAGAATCACAACATTGTTGCTATCACAAATGCATGAAAAATGACAGCTGGATAACTAGAACCTTCACGATATGAGATGCCAAGCAAATGATGATACTCTTTTTTGCTACACGCTTTCAACCCTTTATAAGACGGACGATATCGCATAACTGCAACAGTACAAACTCCACTGCCCCTATAAATTCACAAAACTACCTAATTTATTGGCAGAGTCCTAGAACTGTACGCCATGGAACGTAGATGAAAAAAGTTACACTGAAATTTGCACCTGTAAAATTTTGGAGGGATTCATCCCAAGTCTGCACACCAAACTTTCTCCTTGCAAGAGCAATGCGCTCATCAGACGGCCCAAAGTAAGGGATACAGTGAATGCACTAAGAGATAACTAAATAAGTGGAGACAAAACCATTTTGAACATCCTTCAGTCATACATAAGGAGAATTATCAGTAGATCCCTAGCTGCCTTAAGAGGGAAATAAATTCAAGTTAATTCTACATTAGCTGGGCTGTGGTGCTGACACTGGACTGTGAACTGCTAATATAAACAGCATGGTTAAACAAGCCATTAATGAGGTGACTTGGTCTGGGACCGGGCCACGGAGGCAGTGGCCCCTGGAATCATGTATTCTCCAGGTATCTCTGGATAGTGGGAAACTTTTATGGTTGTCCGATTTTTTCCACCCCCCAAGGTTTCATTTATATTTTTAAACTCCTAACCTGTTCTTCAAATTTTCAAAATTGTTCCACACTAACTAGGGAGAGGTTCACGCTATTGAGATGCACAGGTTCCTCTGTCAGTTTTATGCAGTAGAGCCAAGAGCTTCAAAATTTTAGTACTGGTGAGTTTTCAGGACAAATCTGACTTTATTAGGTTGTGCAAATCCTAATTTGCTAATTTTCTTAAATAAATTGTAATGTTAATATTCGTCCAATAACTAGAGAGTGTTTTTTCTGATCAGCTTCAAGCTCTCCAAACCTGTTAATCATAATTAAAGTAAAAATATAACTGTTAGTTTCCCAATATTATCGAGGAATTTGGAAGAACTGTTATATTGGTTTCCTAGCAATATGTTTCCAATGTGTTTTCTGAAGTATATATTACATAAAAGATATTTTTATTTGCTATCAAACTGTGGGTGCAAATTTGCTAATTTTGTTTCATTTCCTGAGATTTGTAAACCTGTTAGCTTTGTTAAATAACAAAACATAGTGCTTTACAGATTTGAAAGCAACTTAAAAAATTTATGTAACTGTGAAAATGTGTCCTGTATCAGTCTTGTGAAAGTCTTGCTTCACAGTGTCTTCCTACCATACTTGTTAACAAGCCTTGCTTCATATACCATACTTGTTAACAAGCCTTGCTTCATATACCATACTTGTTAACAAGCCTTGCCTCACATACCATACTTGTTAACAAGCCTTGCTTCATATACCATACTTGTTAACAAGCCTTGCTTCCTATACCATACTTGTTAACAAGCCTTGCTTCATATACCATACTTGTTAACAAGCCTTGCTTCATATACCATACTTGTTAACAAGCCTTGCTTCATATACCATACTTGTTAACAAGCCTTGCTTCATATACCATACTTGTTAACAAGCCTTGCTTCATTTACCATACTTGTTAACAAGCCTTGCTTCATATACCATACTTGTTAACAAGCCTTGCTTCATATACCATACTTGTTAACAAGCCTTGCCTCACATACCATACTTGTTAACAAGCCTTGCTTCATATACCATACTTGTTAACAAGCCTTGCTTCATATACCATACTTGTTAACAAGCCTTGCTTCATATACCATACTTGTTAACAAGCCTTGCTTCATATACCATACTTGTTAACAAGCCTTGCTTCATATACCATACTTGTTAACAAGCCTTGCCTCACATACCATACTTGTTAACAAGCCTTGCTTCATATACCATACTTGTTAACAAGCCTTGCTTCATATACCATACTTGTTAACAAGCCTTGCCTCACATACCATACTTGTTAACAAGCCTTGCCTCACATACCATACTTGTTAACAAGCCTTGCTTCATATACCATACTTGTTAACAAGCCTTGCCTCACTTTACCATACTTGTTAACAAGCCTTGCCTCACATACCATACTTGTTAACAAGCCTTGCCTCACATACCATACTTGTTAACAAGCCTTGCCTCACATACCATACTTGTTAACAAGCCTTGCTTCATATACCATACTTGTTAACAAGCCTTGCTTCATATACCATACTTTTTAACAAGCCTTGC